TAAAATAATATATAAGTTATTATGCTATCTGGGCGTAGAGCGCTGCTAAATATAATTTCCGCATATGCAATTTTAATTAAATCTTATATCGCGATATTTCGCGAATTCATTCAAATTAAAATAAAGGTTTACATGCAAAATTCGCCGAACTTATGGGCCAACAACAAATTAATGTATGCAATAAATAAACAATGAAGATGGCTCATGCCGTAAAACTTATCGATCGTTGGATCGTTGACAGAATTTGCATTATATATATATATATATATATGGGGTACGTGTGTGCGCGTGTGTATTCTGAAAATACCACGGTTATTGTGACGGTGACGAAAATAAGGCTTGACTAATTTGCGACGAATTCGCGCATGAGGGAAGAGTTAAATCCGTGGTAAAAAACGAGCGCCATTTTACGCGCTATGTTTTTAGGGTTCTTGTTGGGCGCAATTCACACAGATGCCGTAAAGCCTTACTGCAAACACGTCAATACGAAATAATAGCGTTTATAGATTAGGATTTCGTGTCGCTCATTACATATGCAAGAAATTTGTTTTTGCATAATAGAGAACTCGCCTGCTGAGGAATGTATCGCGGAACGTAACTCAATAAAGACATCAGCGCAAATGTAGTTCCGACTCGTGCGCGTCAACACAGCACCGGTGGAACTATGTTTATCTTTCGATTGTTACACGTCGCCAGCAAGAGGGAGTGGGAGAGTGAGAGGAGAGGGCGAGAGGAAGGAAAGTAGAAGGTAGCTAGAGAGTGTGACGAGAACGGTATAGGATGGGCCGCGAGTACGAAGAGGAGTGAAAGAAGGGGCAGAAAGAGAGAAAGAGGGAGGGGGAAGAGGCGGGAGAGGGAGGGAGAGTGTGAGGTAGAGAGGGAGAGTATAGCCGGGAGATGGAGAGAGAGGGTGGGTGGGCGAGAGAGGAAGTAGCGGGTAGGACGAAAGGGGAGAGAAAACGAGATACGGGGCTGCGACAGACGAGGAAAGAGAGAAAAGGCAAGACGAGAGCGCGCGCGAGAGAGAGAGAGCGCGTGCACGAGAAAAAGAAGTGCACATATATGTGTGTGTTCCTGTGCACGCGCGCGTAGACGTGCACGCACACGCGAATATTAATGCTTGCATGCACACTGCTGTAGATTCTCATGTCAAATAAAACTAAAAGTATCCGTATACTCTCTAAACAGCACTACATGCTAACTAATATCTTGATTTTTACATTATTTAAATATTATTACGATACCTAAACATTATATTATTTAATTATTTTACTTACATCAAAGTCTTACGGCGAACGGAAAATATATCGTGTTTTAGTGTTTTAGCATCCATCTGCAGGGATAGAAAACGAGTAATACGCTAAACTATGTTTCTCGTTAGTATAGTTCGTGACTACGCTTACCACGACACGGGAAAGGATGGTTGATAGCACGAAGCGATTGTAGCTAGGTTGCCCCGTCAGCGCTTCCGTCGCACCTGCATATGTTCGTATCAGTTTGCCTTCTCAATATATCACTCATTTCCGTTGCAATGCCGCTTTCAACTTTATCGATACAATAGCTAAATATTACCTGAGTCAACATCAACGTTGTATGCTAATCTCTCAGCGGTAAGCATCAAAAGTTATCAGCCGTGACTATATAGCTATATAATAATGCAAGGCGCGTTCATGTGACAAAACTAGATATTGATAGTTGGCCTGGATGAATGCCAACAGTAATTAATGTATTAGATGTGGAGAATGACAATGATTTATCGTAGTTCGTCCACGCGATTGAAACACTTGATGTAAGTTATTTGAAAAAATTATTGTCGTTAGAAATTAACTGCTTAATCTTGCTTCATTAACAGAATGTTCCGTTAAATTGATTTTAAAATTAAACCGTAATTATTGCTATAATGATTGTTTTATCTTCACAGCCGTTACAAACTATTTAGGCTTTTTAAATCAAGGACGATTATTTCATACGGAGAAAATGATGTGGAAACTATTTTTCATTATCACAAATTTAAATAAAAAAGCTTTTAGCTTTTATAAAAAAATTTTTGGAAAATGCTAGCTCGATTGGAACACTTTACCAATAAGACCTTACCCGTGGAAACTGCGTTTTAAATTTTGGCAAAAAGACTAATCTCACAATATAGTATTCTAATAATTATTGTAGTCCGTTTAATAAGAGTCGGAGCGTGCCCGTGAGCGCGGCAGGCATCGGCGGTTAGTTAAACAGCAACGGAAGTTTCACGTAAAAATTCATTTCGCCTTGATGTGCCGATATCTTCCAGGCGTACCCAAGTTTCGTACAGGTGGGTGTCAGATTGCGGTGGGAACACCACCATGTGCTATATAGCGGTTACATGAAGACAACGGGTAAACACCTTTTGATGCAGATCCATATATAAATAATTTACACTTCTCAAACAAATCTATCCAGTGTTTGTCATATCATACAGGTGGGAGGTGTTTACATAGGGAATGGAAGAGAGAGATCAAGCAAGTATATATGTCAACAGCGCACTGTATATACAAGGCAAATTATGGTATCAAATCTATATAGAATTATCTTGCGACCGATAAGGATGTCTCTTAAGTTTGCCGATCCAACATGTCCGATATTATAAAACGGGCAAGCGTATAGAGTCGCAGCGTGGACTTACATTTGTAGGGTTTACACACGTGCCATACAGGATCACTATATATATATATTCCTGAATAAATAATACAGTGCGATGAAGATAGATATGGCGGAACAACGTGCAAAGTCACCGTAACATAGCATGAAATAAATGTCGTGATGAGTGACTACGAGCGAGTCTTGACTTAAAACTTATAACGCCAAATGATTAGATTAGTTTTGCAGAGGCGGGGTTGCAGTTGTGTTGTCCGCTATTTCACACGCGTTTCGTCCGTCCACCATCCCTCCCGGGTGCGTCTCTAATTTTATTCCATTAGCGCTGTCAGCCGCTGACGAATCGCCCAGTTTTCAAGTGCACTTTTGTAGCGAAACTTGTCGCAAGCTGTGTACTAACGGCGCGCAGCCGACAAATGGTTACATTCAACTTGATCGCAGGCATTTGTCAACACCGCTTGGAGCCAGGCGCGACCCATCCGTCTACGAGCAAAGTCTGAGGCATTCAGCGCCGGTGCGTGCCTTTATTTTTAGTAAACGTTCAGGTAGCGCAGACTGTTGACAAATGTCTACCGCCGGCCCGCTTGAAATAGCAGACGGCGAACCACTTCGGAACCGCATACCTGCGCGTGACGCAGCGTAAATCGCCGACGCGTGGTATGTATACGCGCGCATTTCTAGGCTCGCCATCGCAGCGTCGACGACCAGCCCAACGATAGATAGTCACAGTAATTACGCGTAAATCGAACGCGGTTTTAGTTGAGCGCGTCAAAGGTTTCGGCCGGCGGTGTTTTCGGTGCTGATCAGTGTGTTTTCGTAGCGCGCCGCGGGCGCGCGCGATACCGCTCGTAATCAATACATCACCGCAGCCGCTGACGCTGCGACGCTCGTCCAATGGCGAAGGCTCGCGAGAGCGTAGGCCACGCCCACGACCAATTGGATGACTTCGGCGGAGCTCTCTGATAGCGAACTTCGTCCTCCGCTGTTGAAAAGCGGTAAACGTTCGAGAGGCGGTGCCATAATCGCACACCGAGAGAGATAGATAGATAGATCAAGAAAGAGCGTCGGGATACATTAACACAGGAGATCAGTTCGGGTTTTAGTTCGGCACGATATAAAGTCACACATAGTCACAGTCACCAGCGTTGACGATGAACGCGCTGCATCCACTTCTCCCGTCTCCTCCGCGCACAGAGTCCGGAGCAAGGAAGCCCAAATGCGCCCGCTGCAGGAACCACGGAATGGTGTCCTGGCTGAAGGGACACAAGCGTCACTGCCGCTTCAAGGACTGCACCTGTGCGAAGTGCAACTTAATCGCCGAGAGGCAGCGGGTGATGGCGGCGCAGGTGGCTCTGAAGCGACAGCAAGCAGCCGAAGATGCAATAGCGATGGGACTGCGATCCTGCTCGCCGAACGGGCCGTACAACTACCTGCCTTCCGGACCGATATGGGGGACAATTCCCGGCGATCCACCGCCAGTGAAGAGCAAGCTTTCCTCCACGAGCATTAACAGCGAGAAGAGAGATATCGATCAAGGTAAATCGTATTTGTTTGTTTTTATAGATAGACGACATTCCCTTTGTTTCTCTGTAACGCGTTGTAGTTAAGCTAGCTTAGTTTAGCACTAAATATTATTAATTACTAACCACTTATTTTTGTATAGCTATTGTCATGATGTATATATATATATATATATATATTCGTATATATAACGCGATAATCTCAATATATATAACAATAATAACAAAAAATAAATACGGGCGTATAATGATCTAGGAAGCTAGTACAATTGAACACTGCCAAAGTATCTATAATATATATTATACTATTATCAAACTATATTAAGATACCCGTGCCGTAATGCTAACGTAACATACACGTTAAAGTGTGTAACAAAATATAACAAACTGTTCAGAAATAATTGATATATAACAAACAAACGTTAAAGGCCGCAAAGGTTATCATGAAATTTCCATTATATCAATAAAACTTTATCGCGAATTTAATGCGCACCCGATGTATATTTTACATTATATTATTATTAAGATTAAACGCGTCGAAACATATGAATTGAAAATGACTGCTTCGAATTAGTTGCCATTCTCATATTCTAACGTTGTTATTGTAAAGCAACTCAAATGTACGGGAACCCCAGCCGGAATGTCGATAATTTCACTGGTACGTCTAAGAGATTTTGTAATCGAACCAGCATTGATACATAATTAATCTAAAGTCAACCGCGAACCGAATCGCGCTGCTATCGTGCGCAGACACATGCACAGTTATCGCTGGCGCGCTGCCTAAGCTGTTAGTATGTGCGCAGGCACGCAAGCAAAGAAGCGGCGCGGCTGATCCGCAGCGTTATCGCGCTATAATGCCCATATAACCTGCCCTCGTGTTTGGCCGCCGCTATATACCGCAACAGAAAACGTTTCTAAACACAAAACCAAAGACACGCTGCATTCACGCGGCGTGGGAAAGGACAATATTGATCACGACGTGGTGTGTGTGAAATAGCCACTTGCGTGCCACCATCGGACTCTTCAGCTCCCCGTGCTAATTAGCGTTAATCCCAAGTGTTAATAAAGCTTGCCACGCGTAAACGCGCGACGACGATATCTGACCTACTTGTAAAACTTCCCCCCGTTAAATACTAAGCGATGACGCGAACAAGTGGAATCCTCGAAACCGGCAGAGCAGCCGACATTACAAGGATTTAACGCCCGGCGAATGGCAACATTAATTAGATGATTAATTATGAATTTATTTCACGTCCGTATCGACATCACGTCAATCGGAATCCCCGCATCACTCTATATACTAACCAGCACGACTTGTCGCCGTTCGCAATGCGAGTTTACTCAGCAGCGCTAACGCACTCACCGATGAACATGATACCGCATAATCTCAATAATACAACATAATTACATTAAAATTTGCTCTCGCAGACCAACGCGAGCCTATATAACGGGTGCGCGCGTAATCGACGCTACGCCGGCGGGAGCTAATAGCGAGAGCGCCATGTGCCGCCGCCGCCTCGACTCCATAAAGGCTCGTGCAACTGTCACGCTGACTGTCACTTTGTGTCAACACGCCGGTCAGATTCGCGTGCGCTCGGCGACACGCACGCTGCGCTCGTGCTGGGAGCGGGGGGTAGGAAGGGAGAGAGTGGGGAAGGAAGCGAGAGAGGGAGAAAGGGGAAGAGAGGAGGAGAGAGAACGAGGGAAGGAGGTAGAGAGAAAGAGGAAGGGAAGACGGGCGGTAGAAATGGAGGAAAAGAGGATTGGAGCAAGGGAAGAAGAAGGGAGGGAGGGAGGTGAGATTTAGGTTGAGGTCTTCTGAACGGAGAGCGAGCCGACAAGCCTGACTGGCGACTGACGGTAAACATGGAGCGAGCGCAGCATTAAGACTGCGGTGGGTCCGCGCCTGGGCTCGGCTCTACGCCACGGCGACGGCAATATACGAACTGCAGAGGCGGGGTTGCAGTTGTGTTGTCCGCTATTTCACACGCGTTTCGTCCGTCCACCATCCCTCCGGGTGCGTCTCTAATTTTATTCCATTAGCGCTGTCAGCCGCTGACGAATCGCCCAGTTTTCAAGTGCACTTTTGTAGCGAAACTTGTCGCAAGCTGTGTACTAACGG